GGCTGGGTGGGTGGAAGGAATCTTTCCTTTGAACATCCATCCCAGCACCAGTAGTCAGGGTGCCAGGAGGAGTTGTGCTTCTGTACCAATCACTTCTGAGGCAGCTTGGACTCCTTCATAGGCAGCCAAGATTTCTTTCTCTGTTGGAGTGTAGTTAGAATCAGACCTCTGTAGCTTCGACTCCAAAATCCCAGTGGTTGACCCTGAGTCTCCCCAGGCACCTTCTGCCAAAGGCTCCAGGACAAGCCATTGTTCCTGGCTACAGAGTAGAGCATGTTCTTCACCTCTGGTCCTGTCCTGACTGGGCCAAGGGCTACTGCATGGGTGATTTCCTGCTTGATCTGGGTAAAAGCTTGTTGCTGTTCAGGGCCCAGTGGAAAGTGTTCTTCTTACGGGTGACCAGGTAGAGAAGGCTCACGATCTGACTGTACTCCGGAATATGCATTTTTCGAAAACCTATGGCGTCTAGGAAAGCTTGTGTTTCCTTCTTGCTGGATGGTGGAGACATTGCTGTGATCTTGTTGATGACATTGGTGGGAATCTGATGCTGTCCATCTTGCCACTTCACTCCCAGAAACTGGATGTCTTGAGCAGGTCCCTTGACTTTTCTTGATGGTGAAGCTGGCTTTCAGGAGAATCTGGATGATTTTCTCTCCTTTCTCAAACACTTCTTCCACTGCCATGTTCCCCCACACAATGATGTCATCAAAGTAGTGCAGATGTTCTGGAGCCTCACCCTTTTCTAGTGCAGTCTGGATCAGTCCATGGCAGAGGGTGGGACTGTGCTTCCACCCCTGGGGCAGTCGGTTCCAAGCGTACTGCACGCCTCTCCACGTGAAGGCAAACTGAGGCCTGCATTCTGCTGCCAGGGAAATGGAGAAAAATGCATTGGCAATGTCAGTAGTGGTATACCATTTTGCTGCCTTGGACTCCAGCTTGTACTGGAGTTCCAGCATGTCTGGCACAGCAGCACTCAGCAGTGGAGTCTCTTCATTCAAGCCACCATAGTCCACAGTCCATCTCCATTCTCTGTCAGACTTGTGCACTGGCCAGGTGGGACTGTTGAAGGGTGAGTGGGTCTTGCTGACCACCCCTTGGCTCTCCAGTTCACAGACCATTTTGTGGATGGGGATCACAGCATCTCAATTAGTTCAATACTGCCAGTGGTGCACCGTCAAGGTGACAATTGGCACTCATTGCTCTTCCACCCTCAGGAGTCCTACTACAGATGGGTTTTCTGACAGTCCAGGCAAGGTGTTCAACTGCTTAATGTCCTCTGCCTCTACAGCAGCTATGCCAAAAGCCCATCGGGGTCCCTTTGGGTCTTTGTAATAGCTGTTCCAGAGGAAGTCTATGCCCAGAATACACGAGGCCTCTGGGCCAGTCACAATAGGATGTTTCTACCACTCCTTCCCAGTCAGGCTCATCTTGGCTCCCAATAGGGTCAATTGCTGTGATCCCCCAGCCACCCCAGCAATGGAAACAGGTTCTGCCCCGACATGTCCTGAATGCATTAGGGTACACTGAGCACCAGTATCAACTAAGACATTGTATTTTTGTGCCTCTCATTTTCCAGGCCATCAGATCCACACTGTGCAGAAGATGTGGTTTTCCTGTGCCTCTTCCTTGCTAGAGGAAGCATACCACAACGTCAGGGTTCTGTTGGAGAGTTCTGGTGGGAGAGTTCAGTGGAGTTGTTGCAAGATTCAGAGGCTGTGCCACAAAAATAAAAACTCTGGATTAAAAACTCTCCATCAGGACCCGCTCCTTACTTCACCTCTCCTTAAGGGTTTCTCCAGCTCAGGGAAGGCCTGAGGAGTGACCCCCTCAGCAGCAAGCTCCAGCCCGCAAGCTCTGGAGCTTGGGGCATGCCCAGACTTGTCCCCACGTGCCCAGCTTGACCACAGGTACTGAATAGCGTCTCTGGGGAGGAAGGACCACAGGTCAGCAGCCGAGGCCAGAGAGACCAAGGCAGTCCCATCAGTAATATTGGTCCACACCAATACTGTTCAATAAAATCCACTTTGGATTTTGTCTTGTTAGCATCTTAATTGGTGCAGAGGCATTTCTCTAACAATTTTCTTAACCAAACAGTGACATTATTGTGGCACGGTGAGTTCAGGGCACTGTTCTCTGACCCCGGGTGCCTTTGACAGCAGCACAGTTCCCTCCTCTGAGGAGGTTGTGGTTCTCTCTTAAGGAACTCTTGGAAACTTGGATGCAGCTTCCTCTGAGGGACTTATGGGAGAACTGATGAGGAAAATGGCTGTTGTGAGTGGCCAGTGTAAAGAAAATTTTTGTTGTCCTTCCTTGAAAACTTTGTTGAAATCACTGGAGGAAAGGGAGCAATGGAGCATCCAGCTGCCCCCCATGTTTGGAGGTGTCTGAGGAGGGCTGGGACAATGCCAGGGACATCCTGCAGTGACATCCCCCCTGTCCTGCTCTGGGTGAGCTCAGTCCCAAACCTGACCCTGATCCTGGTCTCAATCTCACTCCACGTTTAGACACACTCACAGTTCTGTATTTAGTGTCAACCTAGTCCCAGACTCATCTAGCCCCAGACCAATCCCAACCCCAGCCTAAAGTCAATCCCGAGACTAGCCTTAACCCCAATCCCAGCTCTAATCTAAATCTCAGCCCCAATTCCAGCCCCTTCCTAAATCCTCAGCCCAAACCAAATCCCAGGTTCAGCCCTGGGGGTTTGGGGGTGTCTCTGTCCCTCTGACCCCAATGATGTTTGGGTGGGGTCACACCAGGGCTGAGAGGGACAGAGACTCCCCTGGCTCCCCAGGGATGAGAAGGTCGGAGAGCCCCTCCAGCCCCGAGCACCCTCAGGGGTGAGAGGGACACAGAGCCCCTGGTCTCCATCCCTGCACAAGCATTCCCTGAGGCCAGAGGGATGGAGACACCCTGAGCATCCCCCGGGCTGAGTGGGACAGACAGTGCCCCAAGCACCCCCCTGGCACAGGGTGAGAGGGAGGGGGAACTCCCAGGCATTCCCTGGGGTGAGAACGATGGAGACCCCCTGGAGTGAAAGGGACAGGGCAACCCCCCTCAAGCCCCTCCCAAGCATCCCCCAGGGCAAGAGGCATAGAGACCCCTTGAGCATCCCCTGGGCACTGGACAAAATAAACTTGGCAGAAATCAAACTTAACTCTGCATAATTCACTTTGATGAATATTTAATTTTCCCACAAGTTACGTGATGAAAACACAAAGAAATCCCAAGCATTAATAAACCAAGAATAGAAGCAATTGTGTGACAATTCCTAGTTTCATCAGTTCCTTCACAGCTCCAGCTCAGCTGCTGGCAGGTTCTGATAAAGGAAAAGGGAAAATTTGGATGAATACAGATTATAAAAAGGAAGAAAAAATTCTGTATAGCTCTCACAAAGGTGACAGGGACAAAGAGAATAAGGATTTTCACATTTGACAAAGCCCCCAAGCCTGTGAATTTGGGAGTTATTTGGGAATCTAGCTACTTGAGCTGGGCTTCTTGTGGGACTTTTAGCAGCCTTGTGTTCCTCACCGTGGGGTAAATGAACCTTTTCAGCCTCTCTGGTATCATTTGCTCCCTTTCCTCCAGTGATTTCAACAAAGTTTTCAAGGAAGGACAACAAAATATTTTCTTTACACTGGCCACCCACAACAGCCATTTTCCTCATCAGTTCTCCCATACATCTCTCAGAGGAAGCTGCATCCAATTTTCCAAGAGTTCCTCCAGAGAGAACCACAAGCTCCTCAGAGGAGGGAACCATGCTGTTGTCAAAGGCACCCGGGGTCAGCGAACAGTGCCTAAACTCCCTGTGCCAAAAAAATGTCACAATCTAGTTAATAAAATTGTTAGAGAGATGCCTCTTTCCCAGTTAAGGTGCTAACAAGACAAAATCCAAAGTGGATTTTATTGAACAGTAAATGTGAGGTAGAGAGAAATAGATGGAAAGAAAGAGAAAAGTGGGGAGGTCAAGAGAATGACAAGGACAGAGACCTCCCCTTGGGCGGGGCAAGTGTGACATTGTCCCCTGTGTGGGTGGCCTTCCTGGGGTGGGGGTTTTACACCTGAGCCAGTTTGGGTAGGGGGGGTGGTGTTCACCCCCCCGAGCAGGGATTACCCCACTGTTTCAGGTTACACAGTGTAAGATGTAACCAAATGCATGTTTTCCATCACCATCTTGACAAACTGTTCTAAACAGGCGGGGCAGTGTTCTTTATCTCTTCCATGACTCAGCCCTGATAACGCCCTCCAGGGGCTTTCTTCTGTTAATGGGCCATTGAGTGTCACTGCAGGACTGATAAAATGACATCATCCCATTGTGGGATGCTCCTCCCAGGGAGAGGAGCCAAGCATTCCTACCTGGATATAAGCTGAGGCTTGCAGCCCCAGGAGCACCTTGTCTACTGGATTCCCAGTGGACAAGAGCTCCATAAGCACCAGTGGAGCTTCAGAGAAAGACCAGACCCTTCTGCAGGATCACTGCTTTGACAGAATTGCATTCATCACTGCAACAGGACTGCAGCCACCATTTAATGGGACTGCTACCACCACCCTGACCAACAGGGTGCCAGGTTATATCCTAACTCTGTGAGCTTCAGGCAGAGTTTCTGTATCATTGCCTTGAACTTAATTTTCTTGTTAAATTGTAATTCAGGCTTAGAATCTCCCCCTGGTTTACATTCAAATCAGAAGAAAACTCAGTGTGCTCATCCAGTGTTTTCCTCCCAAAACAGAATTTCCTATTCCCAAAACTTCATCATATGGAGGTGAAGACTGCGAGGAAGATGCCCTGGGACACCCAGGCAGGTGAGGAAGATGTCACCGCCCCTTTCCACCTCTCTCCTGCTCCATCTCCCAGCCCAGCACAGCCCCTGGCTGCAGGACAACCCCTCTGCCAACGCCGTCCTGCCGGGGATGCACTGGGAGGATCTCCTTCTCCTTCCCTCTGGCACAGAGGCAAATCCCATCCTCTCCTTGTCCTTCCTCCCCCAGAGAAGGAGCTGAGGATGGAGACCAGAGAGGACAAATCATCACAGCACAACCTCATGGAAGAAGCCGTTTTGAGTGACTCCAGGGCACAGGACTCCAGCTGGGAGGTAAAGCCCGCGAGATCCCACAGGAGGAGGAGCTCCAAACCCAGCCCAGGGTGCTCTGAGGAGGAAAGACCCATCCTGTGCCAGGAAGGTGGACAGAGCTTCAGCCAGAGCTCAGAGCTGGTGGTCCATGAGCAGCTTCATGATGGGGAGAAGCCCTACAAGTGCTTGGAGTGTGGGAAGAGCTTCAGGCGGAGCAGCAATCTGATCCGCCCCCAGATGATCCCCGCTGGGGAATGGGCCTACGGGTGTGGGGAATGTGGGAAGGGCTTCAGCTGCAGCTCAGAACTCGTCAGGCACCAACGCATCCACACTGGGGAGAGGCCCTACAAGTGTCCCCAGTGTCAGAAGGGGTTTCGCACCAGCTCCAATCTCCTCATGCATGAGCGGATTCACACGGATGAGAGGCCCTTCCACTGCCCCGAGTGCAGGAAGGGGTTCAAGCACAACTTCACCCTCGTCACCCACCGGCGCATCCACACTGGGGAGAGACCCTATGAGTGTCCCCAGTGTGGGAAGGGCTTCACCCAGAGATCTCACTTGACCCAACACCAATGGAAGCACTAGTAAGGGAAGCCCTGCAAATGCCCTAACTGCAGGAAGAGCTTCCTGCCTGGCTCCAGCTTCATACCCAATTGGAGGACCCATGTTGGGAAGAGCCCTGGTGATCCATGTTCCCTGTGATCCATGCTGGGAAGACACCTGTCCCTTTTCCTGCCCCTGCCAGTGACATGATGTGGGATCGAAGAACATGAGGTTCTGGCCAGGGCCGTGTCATTGTATTCACTCTCTCCTCAAGTCATTGCCAGGGGCAGGAAAGGGTCTCTCTCTCCCTGAGGAGAAGTGTGTTCTTCCCAGGCAGGAGGAAACTATGGCCAGGATGACCCAGTGAGTTGGTTTGGTTTTCCCTGTAAATAGTTTTTCTTTTCCCTTCTGTTACCAGCATTGTTTCTGTTCCTGTTTGTTCCTTATCTCATTGCTGTTCCCAGTAAATTGTTCTTATCCCAGCCCAGGATCTTTGCCTTTTGTGCTTTCCATGGGAGGTGGGAGGGCAGCTAGTGGCAGCGCAGTTTTAGCAAGAGCAGGAAATTGGGGAATCCCATTCTTGAAGTCCTGTGCAGGGCCAGCAGTTGGACTCCAGGATCCTGATGGGTCCCGCCCAGCTCAGCCAATTCTGTGGATCTGGGATCCCATGACACTGGGGATGGGGCGGCCAATGGTTGCCATGGCAACGGGCTCTGGCTGCAGGTCTGAGCTGGTGTCCATGGCAACCATCCCTGGCATGGGGTGTGCATGGAGCTGCCGATGGACTGAGCATGCTGTCACAGGCACTCACGGGGGCTCCATGGTGACATCCCAGGAGTCCCCAGGCTGCCAAAGAGCCGGGATGTCCCAGACACTCACAGGGGTTCCTGTCATGGGCACAGTGGGAGCTTCAGGAAAAGTTTATTGGAGAAGATCCTGTTGGGTCTCAAGGTACAGAAAGGATCCCCAATAGCCCCCACAGATCCCCAAAAGTCACTGTTGAGTCAGAGATGACATAGACTCAGATCAGTGGGCTAAAAGCCACCCATTTATTCAATCTTCTTCTTTTTTACCTTGGTTTGCTACAGGTGAACCTCAGTGCTCATTTAATCAACACATTTGACATACTTGGCTAATGAAGACAATGCCCTTCACCAGACAACTTTATGGAAAAAACAACTTATTACAAACATTGTTGGGGCATCAGTTATTGATGTTTGTTTTAGGTTTGGCCCTTCTGGGGGCTCCCGGGATAGTGGAAACCCTCCTGTAGCAGTTCTGTGCAGGGAAAAGAAGACTCATGGGAGTTTTTTGGTCTTCAGATTCTTGTTTATTTTATCTTATCTAAGGTTTGGCATGCTATCCACACCAGGTTCAGTGGGCTGGAAAAGCAATGCAAAATGCCCCCAAAATGTACAGTTTCAAGGTCTGTTAAAGTTTCTTCATCCATTGGATGAAGATAGTCTTAAAATGTACATTATTTCTACTTATCTACCAATAATTCATACCTTGACTGTCCATGTAAGCTCTGCACTGTGCTTTTTTTGACTAATCACCCTGTGTCACCAACACTGCAGAAAATGGAGTAGATGAAGAAGAAGAAAAAGACAGGGACTACACCCAAATTCCTGCATATTGCTTCCTATCTGCACCATACTAAAAATCCCAAAACCTAAATTTCTCATCCAAGTGGCATACTATACTACTCTCTGTTATTTATTTCACACTTTGGTGAATTCTAATCTATCTCAAAGTCATGGAAGTCCTCTCCATGGGCAAAGGTTAAAGGCAGTGTTTCTCTGGGGGTCAGGACCCCTAAGAGCAGACAGAGAAATATTCCCTGTGCCCTGGATTCTCACACATTTAACCTAAAATCCTTTAACTCTTAATGCGTTAAGTTACCCAAAAATGTTCCAGGTCAGTAGGATTAGAAGAAATAGAGAACAACAGAAAGACAGAAGATCTATAGAAAGACACACAAATAGGAACCAACCGCTCAGGTTCCAGCATCACTGACAGAGGAATCCCAGCAGAAGGCAGGATCCAGACCACGGGCTGGCCTCGTGCTCCGGCTTTTAACCCCCTGGGCCTTCATGGGCCTGCCCCTGGGGTGGGACTGCCAGTGGCTTGTCCAGTCAGAGTCAGGGTAGGCACCAGCTGCTGGTGTGTGATTGATTGGCAGCTGGACCAATTAGAGGGGGGATAGCACTGCCCCTGCTGTGTGATTGACAGCTCTGCCAGGGCTGGGGGCAGGGCTCTGTCCCACCACAAACCAAGGCCTGACCCAGGCCTGGCCCCACACGGGCATTCCGAACATCCCAAGGTGTCTCGGGACATCGATCTCATCCAGCCTCTGACAGCAACCATGGTGACACTCCAGAACCTTATGGAACCAAGGGGCCATTGTGACACTGTGGTGCCTCATGGAATCAAGGAGACCATTGTGAAACTCAGGGGCCCCAAGGAACCAAGGGTCCATGGTGACCTTGTGGAGCCCAGAGTGTCACGGAGGAGCTGTTGTGACACAGCGAGGGCGCATGGAGCCGAGGGGCCATGGTGACACATCAGGGCTTTGTGGAACCACAAAGTCATTGTGACATTGCAAGGTCTCATGGGGCCATTGTGACACTGCAGAGGCAAGGGGAACATTGTGACACTCCTGGGCCTCATGGAACCAAGGAAACCATTGTGACACTGTGGGGTCCCATGAAACCAAGGGAACATGGAACAGGTCTGGCTGGTTGTGCTTCCTGGGGACCACCTGACAGGTCCAGCTGACCTTGGCATGTCGAAGGCTGCTTCTCATCTGCCCCTGAAGCACTGGGGCTCTGGGCTTTCCTTCCTAGGGGAGACAACTGTCCTTCTCCTCCAGGGGCCCATTGTCAAAATTGGGATTCCTCCTCCAAATTTCTTTATATGCAAAGATTGTTCCCAGATGAACTATACCAGGACAGACAGATCTGGCTGCCTTGGCCATCCAGGGGCCACCTCTCATCTGACTTTGAAACACTGGAACCATGTGTTTTTCTTTCTTATGGGAAAAAAACATCCATCTCTACCAGGTACCCACAGCCAAAATTGGAGATCTGCCTCCAGAATTCCCTATATCCAAGGACAGCTCCCAGAAAAAAGCTGCCAGGACTGACAAGTCTGGCTGGCCTTGGCTTCCTGAGGGCTGGTACTTATCTGCCTCTGAAACACTGGGGCTCGGTGCTTTTCTGTCCTTCTTCTCAAGGTATCCGTGGTCAAAATTGAGATTCCTCCTCCCAAATTCCATATATTCAAGAAATCCTCCATGACAAAAATTTCCAGGTCTGGCTGGCTTGTCGTCCCAGGAGCCACCTCTCTCCCCTTCTGCCTTTGAAACACTTGAGTTCAGTGCTTTCCTTCCTGTGAAAAAGAACCGTTCTTCTTATCTACATAGAAATGGCCAAAATTGGAATTCCACCTCCCAGATTCCCTATATACAAGGGTTGGTTTCAGACAAAAGCTACCAGGACACAGAGGTCTGGCTGGCCTGGGCCTTGGCCTTTCATCTGCCCTTCAAACATCAGTGTTCCATCCTTTCCGTCGTATGGAAAAGAACTATTCTCCTCTGGGTGTCCATGTCTGAAATTAGGATTCCAATTCTCTATATCCAAGAGTTGCTCCCAGGCAAAATCTGCCAGTCCCATCAAGTTTGGCTGGCCTTGGCCTCTGGTGACTGCCCCTGCAACGCTGGGGCTGGGTTCTTTCCTTCCCAGGAAAGGAGATGGGATGGAGATTACTGGGACACTGTGGGGACCTCATGGAACCAAGGGGATCATTGTGGCACCACTGGAGCCCATGGAACCAAGGGGCCATGGTGACACAGCGAGGCTTCATGGAACCCAGAGGCCATTGTGACTCTGTGGGGCCTGATGGAACCATGGAGACCATTCTGACCCTTCAGGGCCTTGTGTCACTAAGGGGGCATTATGGCACCTCAGGGCCTCATGGAAGCAAGGGACCATTTGGATGCTGTGGGGCCCCATGGAACCGGGGGAACATTGAGCATATCTGCCTGGCTTGGCCTCCCAGGGACCACCTGACAGGTCTGGCTGATCTTGGGATGTCAAGGGCTGCCTCTCATCAGCTCCTGCAGCACTGGGGCTCTGGGCTTTCCTTTCTATGGAAAAGAACCATCCCCCTTTTCAGATTTCGGTTGCCAAAACTGGTACTCTCCCTAAAAACTTTCCTATATGCAAGGGTATCTCCCAGAACAAAACCTGCCAGCTCTGGCTGGCCTTGGCCTCTGCTGGTCACCTCTCATGCACCTAGGAAGCAGTGGGGCTCTGTTCCTTCATTCCTATGAAAAAAAATCAGCTTTCATACCTAGGAGCTGTGGCCAAAACTAGGATTTGGCCTCCCAAATTCTGTATATCTAAGGATTGCACCCAGACAAAATTACCCAGGACAAATGTGTCTGCCTGGCCCTGTTCTCTGGTGATTTTCTTAGAGTATGAGCTGAATGTTTGCAATTGAAAACACCTTGGAGAGGGCCCAGAGATCTCCCAAGGATGGCTTTGGAGACCTTGGGCACATGTCCACTACATATGGACAAAGGAGTTCTGTTCTCTCTGCTGTTGCTGTGGGTTTGCATCACGGAAGTGATGTCCTAAGAGAAGCACTAGCAGTTTCCTGCGTCTCTGTCAAAAAACCCCCAGCTCCAGCCGCAGGGACCGAGCCCAGCCGGGGTCACGGAACCATCTGCAGGCTCCGGGAGAGCTATTAACTCTTTCAGTGCTTCCATCCTCCCTCGAGGATGGAACCATCTGCAGGCTCCGGGAGAGCTATTAACTCTTTCAGTGCTTCCATCCAGCCGGGGTCACGGAACCATCTGCAGGCTCCGGGAGAGCTATTAACTCTTTCAGTGCTTCCATCCTCCCTCGAGTGAGAGAAAAGGACAAAGTGCAGGCACATAGAGGAGCCACATGAAGAGACCAAGGTCAGTGAAGAGGAAGTTGGGTCCCAGATGGGAGGGATGAGGAGATGCCTTGATCTTGAGGCTGAAATCCCTTGTA